TCCCGTGACCACGGCTGCTGCAAAGCATCCGAAACGTCGGGCCGAAGTTAAAAATCATTTTCAAATAAGTTTAACTAATATATCGCGTTTTAAACAGTCAAAGTGTTTTATTTAAATTAAACTAATACCGTTTGAAACAGACTTAAGTGTTTTCTCTAATAGGTAAACCACAGACCATACTTAATAACTATTTATTTAATTCGATAAGCCCTCGTAGTTTTGATAAGTAATAAAGATGTCGGCAATAACCAGCAGTGTTATAACTTTGATGTTCATCATGACCATAGTCGCATACCATAGAATTAATTAAGCTATTTTTATATTTACCTAACGATAAAACAAAATTACGATCGAACATTTTGAGGAAATTGCTGCGTAGTAACATAATCTTTATGAAATAACAATGAATTAACATAAAATTAATTTTAAGCGGAAATGTTGGCTAGATACCACAAAGCTTGTGTTAAAATAAACATAGGTACACGTACATTTTGAATTTTGTCGTACACTCTACCCTTATTACTTTTATTAATCGAATTCTATCAAATCGGCTTAGTTCCTAGCTTAAACAGCTAAGATTCGAACTTAGGACATTAAACGCTAAGCTCGTAAAGTTATATTTTCTATACTAGCTAATGCCTAGAATTAGATAAGCCATATTAATTATTTAACGATTGGTTGACGTTAAAATTTTACTTTTATTTTAAGTGCGTTAAAAGTGTAATATTTTAATCAAAATGTTACAAATAGATCTACCTCTTAGTTATGACATTACGTACAAACTTAACATTACCCAGCCGAACAGCGCTGATATAGCACACCATAACCCTCCTTGCACAGTCGGTTAAGATCGCTCAGCAAGTACGCAAAAGAGGCCCGCCCAGCCAAGTAAGGGAAAAACGTGTTAACAAAATTATTCACAAATTGTAATGTGACCATCTATTCTTGACACTACACGCACACAACGACGCATCGCGCTTGTGTTATAATCGTACGATAAATAATTCGGGGTTTATCAAAGGGGCCACGTTCTTGATATCAATGGGGTGACCATGATTTATTGTAGAGCTATTCTCATGTACACAAACGGACTACCTAGAATAGCGCCAAAAATTGTGTCTAAGCCGATAATCAAACACTGTACACCTTCAACTATGCAGCTGAAGTCTTATACGATTCACAAATTAAATCTGTTCAGTGACGTATAGTAATTACATAACATTTAGACTTTTGTTAGATAGCATTATTATCCCTAAATATAGTCGAAATTGAATCATGTAGTATTGTAATTCATACTTCGTAATTTAAATATAGTAGAATTTAAATAAAACATTTTAAACGGTTTAAAAGGCGAAATGTTGTATTCGTTAATTTTTTTACAAATTATTATTTTACCTAAGTTATGTTTCGAATGCTTTGCAGAAGTCGTTGCTAATATCAAATTAAGGAGTCGGGCCGTACATAAAATAATTTGGAAATAAGTTTAACGAATACATTTCGCGTTTTAAACCGTTAAGTGTTTTTTTTTATGTGTACTACTAACGCAAACAACAGACAGTTTTTAGTATAGTTAAAATAGAATCAATGGTCTATAAACACATCTTTTTGTAGAAACATTTTATTAAGCCAGATATCAACTATGTCAGTAGAAAACATGAATTAATATAATAAAAGAGCAAAATATGAACAAGAATACATTTTGCTTATATGCCAATAGTTATATATATAACTATTGGTACTATCAAAGACCAGGGTCCACATCTGTGAACAGTCCCAACAAACCGAACCCCATGGTCACCCTACCGCCCCGTCGGATAGTAAAGCCAAGGTCACATTTTACGCACACTGGCAAACTACGAAATCCTTGACTTCGGTCAGAGACCCGCGGAAGTGCTATCGACCAGCACAACGAGACCTCTAGCCACCCCAAAAAGCCACTTCCAGCGAACTCGCGGCAGCTCACGAAAAGTGGTCGCGGTTTTATGTCATCGTGTCAGCTGGCCTTCAATTTTTATGTTTATGATAATCACGTGGACTGTCTAGGTACTGTATTCTTCTATTGCCTTAAACGATATCTCTGAGTATAAAACTTCCGCAAGCGGATGCGACAGAGACGAAATTTTGCCGTATATCTGTACTAATATATAAAGATTACAAGATGTTTCTTTGTTTGATCGCGCTAATCTCATGACAACTGAAAAAATCTGTGTTTGTGTTATTTAGAATGATCAGGGAAGGTTACAGGCGTTTATGAGTATTAATTAAAGACTGATTTCTCCCTACATGATCAAAAAAATGTCTGCGACAGTATCTATCTTTTACGATTAACTTACAAGAACGACGAGACGCGGACGACGTCGTTGGTAACAAATTAAATTTATAGAGTTGAACAGGAAGTTTGCGAAGAAATATTTTGATGGCCGAAATAACGATTCTACGCGGGCGAAGTCGCTGACATAGCTAGTAAAGGATAAATTATGAATGTTTCGTTCAGTAGTTTTTACGTGAAACAGCAACGGACTAACTTAGTCTTTTAAACCTGAAATATGTTTCTAGAATTAATATTGACTATTGTGTTGCCAAATCATCGCACATATCATTATAAAGAATGAACACCTATTTCAGATTTTTTGAACCGGCATCAACAACGTTTCGTGCATGCTATCACGTTATCGTCGAATATTTTCAACCCATTGATAGACACAGACAACTGAAAAATATGATCATATATTGCAAATATGTTTTGTTCAACAAGATATAGTCTTGAATTGTCATACTCGGTAAAGTTCGTTAGGCAAAAAAGAGTAGCAAACATCCATCCATATTCAAGACCGCAGTCACTAAATGGATTTTTAAATCGTATTTTTAACGACTTAAGATTGCAGTAAGTAAGTTGTAGATAAGTTTTGTAATGAATTTACGGCTACATTAACAATACTGTCTATAGTTTACGCGAGTAACGCGAGTACATTTAAATAAAACACTTTAACGGTTTAAAACGCGATATGTTGGTTAAACTTATTTGAAAATGATTTTTAACTTCGGTCCGACGTTTCGGATGCTTTGCAGCAGCCGTGGTCACGGGGAGACTAAAGATGAAGGATGTCTCTGACGTCAAAGTAAAAAATTGCTACGCTAGCGCCATCTGTTCCGTCGAAGTTGGTATTTGGCAAAACTGACCGGGTCCTTACAGAATTACAATTCTGATGATAAAACTCAGTTTATCAATAAACATTAATTAATACTATCATATACAATACTACGCTTGTATAGTTTTAATGGTAAGTAGAAACTGATGGTGTGAATTCTTACGAAGTGTAACCTGGCCGAATATTATTTTAAACCGTTTGTCCGGCTTTGAACGCACGACCTCTCGCGCTTGACGCAAAGTTGCAAAATAGATTTTCGTATAACCTCAGTCGGTTAATAGCTGCATACGTATATGAAAACGATCCATGTTGAACTGATACTGAACTGTTTAAAACGCGCAACGCGAAGTCTATATCGAAGTTTTGGTAGTAATTAAAAATATATGTAAAGTGTTTTTTTGTTATAGAGAAGCACGGGTTGATGGAAGGCGGAAAAACCCAGCCATAGAAAATAAGTTGTCCACCTATTTTGGATTTGGATATTACAGACTGACAACTTCTCGGTTTCTTCATCTGTGAATGGTGGTTCGTAACCATGGCCTTAATATCGGTATTTCTATCTCCCATTTAATGTCCAGATTTCCAGATGAAGAATGAATTTTTACATGTTATTGCACATGAAGGCACTATATAATTAAAAAATCGAAAATAACTCGAAAAAATTTCAGTTGAAGAAATTTGACGATGAGGTGTAGGACTCGTCGCTCAATTGGTAGAGCAACAGCACGGAACGCTGACGATGCCGGTTCAAGTCCTGCCCGAGTCGAAAAGTTTTTCCATTTGTTTTCGATTTTTAAAAGACTTCTTACCATGTTTCAGAAAAAGTATAAATTGATCACTATAAATTCTTTCATATCTCGATTGGCTAATAATAGCCACACATTGCCATCTATTGGTGATTAAATCTAATTCATCACGAAGAAAGACAAATATAATTGAATCTACATCACCACGATTCTTTCTCTTAAGCATTGAGAATTGAAAAACGAAGTTGATTTAATGCTTCCTGCGATAGCCAACAAAATTTAAAGATTCCCAGAAGTTTATCTTGTGAACAGTACATACAGGAAATGTTAAGGGTTACAAAGAGAGATAAGTTGCGCAAGAGTCGCTTCTTTAAATATAATAGATAACATCGCTAGCCCTTATTGCGAGGTACTAAGGCTCAAAACGAGCACACGAAAGTGTCGTACAAATCCATTCATAAACTAGTTGAATGAACGGCGTATGTAAAACGCAATCATTAGCTTGTAAATCGTTAAGATTGAATGGCGAACATTTATTTATCCTTGTTTAGCTATCATTACATGTTTAATGGTTATGTGTTTGCAAAACATTTTTGACGAAACAGGTACTCATTATACACAGGAAATAATAGTACATCTTATCAAATTTTTAGTACGTTAGAAGTTAATCACATCCTTTAAATCGTAGTGGTTCGAAAAAGATTTCGATTTCTATTAGTACATAACCGAATTATTATTAAGATTTTGGCTTTCAATTATTAATATTTAAACAGTTTAAAATGCGAATTAATCTTTTTATAAAGCCCTTGCCAGACCGAGAACGCGGCTGCTGCAAAGAATCCGAACCGTAGTACAATCCGGGTCGTAGTAAATATTAATAAAATATATGTTAACTAATATATTTCGCATTTTAAACAGTTAAGTGTTGTTTTTAAATGAGTAGTACTCGTAAACAGCAGACGATACTCAGTTTAAAAGTCGTTTATTAAATGTGCGCTATTGATACAACACTAACTAATTTAAAAGCATTTCACGCTTCAAATCAGCTCACAATTAGTTTGGCTAAGATAAGACACATGAAATTCTAATACTGTTAACTAAAAACTTACCTTAGTACTTTTCGCCTGTTGTTAGGATGTAATCGCGCCGCCATTTTTGGATCTATAGCCTTAAGTCTGGCATGGATTTCTTCATTAGTGAAATTCTTTTCGTTGTCTACGTCTTCTTTTATCTTTTCTTTGCTCGTATCAATTTCTTTCTTTTCACCTGATCCTGAAGCTTCAGCGCTTTCATCTTGACTATCATTTGATTTCTTGCCTAATGCCTGTTTCTTCGTTTTTTCCACAATTATATCGTCATCTATATCTCTTTTTCTCCTACTCTTATCCCAGAGCAAAGCACTTGTGTCATCCATATCTTCTACTAAAATTTTGTAGACAATCGATTCTATATAGTAATTTGTTCCACCTACAATTATGGGAATCTTTCCCTGATCTGTTAAGTTTTCAATCTGATTAAGAAGTTGAGGAACAAATTGTTATAAATAGATAATATTTATCAAACTGATAAATAGACCTCTTGAAATTTTAAGACACAAATAATGATTGATTTAAAATAAATGAAGATAATATGGTAATGTAATTTAACATTACAGTAACACCAAACGACAGCTTCAATTACTTATAAATTATTGGAATAAATGCCAAAGATGATCCTGCGATCACAATTTAGATCACATATAATCGTTTTAGTCATATATTTAATGCTAAACGAAATGTTCAATGACCTAGTGAAATAATTTTCCGAAAACAGAGCCCATATGTCTTCGGAGTAGGCACAATGGACGAAAGTTTGCTTTGAATTTTAAAACTAACGCCTTTCATCCGGTTTTAACTACTTCATGATTGCTTTCGGCTTTAAGGCTTTCGGGGTGGACATAGACTTTGTCTTAATTTAGAATCGTACGCAAATCTATGACACATTTATACAGTGATTCTGTATCTGTCTTTTTACGTGGAAAATGTATAATGATTTCGAATAAATTTCGAAAATATATTTTTATTGTTTTTTTGCACGGAATCAAACGCGTGGCTGGCAATGCTCATGTCAATACTAAATTATATCAAACATTAATGGATATAAATAAAAAAATACTTTTACTTTTAATATATACCGATTACCTATTGTGTAGCTCAATTGGTTAGAGCAACAGCACGCTGTGGATGTCGATTCAAGTCATGGCCATGGTAAATTATTTCAATCGATGTTTAATTAATTAATAAAAACTACTTTTAAATATATTTTAATACTACGAAGTTGGTTGACAATATATGAGGAAGCCATAATCTAACAGTGTGTACCTCCGTTTCTTGTTATGAACAAATTCTGTTAAGAGTCACAAATAGTTCTGTGAAATGCTTGGAAACTCAAAGCCTACTCATAAAAATATAATGGGATTAAGCGGACGGGCGTAACGAGTACCTAATTAATGACCCGAAGCTGTCAATCCCATTAAATTTTATTAGTTTTGCCAATTAGGTGTTTGAGGATTAATGTATAGACAGATTACTTTAGGAAAAACTATTAATTTTATCAGTCCAGCCATAAATTATAAGTCGATAAGGGTTTTGGGTGTGTAGAACCTGTTTTAAAGGTAAAGGTTTAATACAAGTACATTTTTGTATTTAATCGGGTTTTTATTATTAAAGACGACAGACAAAAAGGACAGCAAACATGAGGTGAGATGGAACATGAAATACCCCCGCTATATAACATCTAGAGAAGACGGGCTGTCAAACCTTCGAAATCCATTTCCAGATTTCCAGACCAACTGCAACATATTTCAGAAAAAAAATAAATAAGTAGAAACAGTTGGCCCGCTGTGGGAAACAAACCCATGACCCGAATTATTGGATATGATTGGACGAAAGTTAAAAAGCTACGCCAATTTATTGTAATGTGTAGCCGAACTATTTTGGCATTGGACTTTTGGAAATCTAGAGACTCAAGTGGAAACACTTAAATTAACATTTAAATCCAGAAAATTTACGAATACTGGAAATCGAATCCACGATCCGTTAATTGTAAACCATACGTTGCTACAATATCACCAATGAGTTTGTCAAAAGAAAGTGTGAATTGTGAGACAAGTATAATATTTTCAGGGTATTTGTACATTGTCCCAATAAACGTGGTTGCTAAGCGCTATATTTGACGAGTGTACAGATATTTGCTCAGCAGTGGAACAGGCCTCACTGATAGAATTAACGGCCCATTGTTCACAATTAATGACAATATTTGATCTTATGAGTTTGCACAAGTGCTGGATCGACATTCGACTTACGAAAGTTTTGTAAAGAATTCATTGCACAAGGTATTCTTATGACACCCAAGAAAACAATTGCATTACATATTTTTAGTCGTAATAGCAATATATACAATATAATACACAACAGGAGAAGAGAAAGAATAATAAATAAATAAATATAATTAATTCTTCAAAACATCGTAGTACCAACTCTTTACATATTCTGGAAACAATCGCTGTATAATTAAAATGTATTTAGATAAAAACATGGGGGCGAGAGACGAACTCACAACCACTGCGTTTCATGTCGTAGTCTTGTGTTATTTGATTTTAAAAGTATAGGCAAATTTTTAGTAACATAAAGCTATCATGGTCACATACGAAAAATAATATTGTGACATAAATAAATAATCGTATAATTAGGATTTTAACTACTACTTTTTTTTATTAAATTGGTGTCGCCCCCTAAAATTTTGCGAAAAAACCAAGAAGAAGTCATTTAAAACGACGACTCAGCCGGGTGTCGAACCAACAACCAACATCAGCGTGCCTTTGCTCTACCAATTAATCCAAAGTGTCACATTTTTATTTAAAAAAAAAACATGTGAGCTGTTTTAAAGAAAAATGTGACACTGTGTTGTGTGTAAAATTTAAGTAAACTACTTAAAAGTTAATGATTCTTGTTATTTACAAGTTACCTATGACTAATAGTAAGATACGAAAAGGATACAATCTTCAGCGCTCGATTCCTGAAGTCCACCACAGTGAAGTTCTGGTGTGGTTCCAGTATATCCAGGAGGTGGTGTGGGATCAGCTGCCTCTCTTGTGGAGACGCTTTCGCCGTCACTATATCTAGTCCTTTGTATATCTGAAACAATAAATTACACTTCAAAATACGCTTTGTACAAAAGTGAGGTCTGGTGCGGTGTGACAAAGATTCCCTATGTAATAATATAATAATCTATACTATATAATAATCCCGTGACACGGGCGGGAATCAAACCGACTATCACAAAGTTCGGTGATGTTACTAGATATTAGACAAAACATGTTTAAAGTGTTTTATACCTTCTGTAACATTGCATATTTGGATTTCAAATTAACCGCGTTATTTTAGACATTCCAATATTAATGCAACTATTAGTGAACGCCGTGTTTGACTGTCTGTGTGTTGTCTGTACATACAGACAGACAAACACGGCATTCACTTGATGGAAGGCGAAATATACATTAATAAGGTATACTGAAACCCACAGACTGCAACTGAAACGGGTGGGGATCGAACCCACGACATACATTGCCACCATTATCAACGAGCCAATCAAAGAAACTTATAAACGAATCGATCGCATTAGCTACTAAGTAGAGATACTTGTATTCTCCGTTTATTCTTTTGACAAAGCTGAAAAGCTTTTGTTTTACTACAAAAGCCGTGAAAGCGCTGCAATAAACTTCCAAAAACGATAATTTAAAAAGCACGTGACCCACTGCTCACAAAGCGGTGGAAATAAGTCAATGTGTCGATTATGCAAATACAGGTAAAATGTATGAAATGTATGTATCAGGGGCGCTTAAGACGCCACTGAATAATTGTAGTGGCGTACATACATATTAATTAGGCGTTATACAAATAAACGAGAGATTTAGTGGAAGCTTTATATTCGACTCAAGCTCGGATTCTCGTCTTAGAAATTAGAGTCATTTAATTATAAATATTTTAAGTAATTTCTGTATTGTACACAAGTACATTTAAATAAAGCAATATTAACGGTTTAAAACGCTTTAATTAAACTGCAGTCATGGAAGTTTGAAGCGCGAACTTAATTAATTTTATTTATTTTTACGTGACGTTTTTAAAATAACGAAGGAAATTAATATCTATCGCCCTCACTTAAGTAAGTACATCAATTTTCTTTGATGTCTTTAATTATCATTAATAACGAAAATTATTCAATGATTATCTATAAAATTGAGCCCAAAGGAGAACGAATGTCAAATATTATCGCATTTACGCAGACGAACCGAATAATAATGTAAAAAATGTGTCCATTATCGGGGGTCGCAGGTTAGAGATTGGACCAATCTGGACCCTTCCGTCATCCAAGATCAAAAAAGTCACCTTGCTTATGCGCATAGAGATCAGATAATTGGCAATTTTCAGTGGATTACGAAGGGTATCTTAGTATTATATCTATTTTTTAAGGGACTTAAGGATACACTATTTAACTACGCCCGTGTTGTTACTTGCAACACATCAAATACTAGCTGTGCCCGCGACTTCGTCCTGTCAAAAGGAATTGCTTTATTAACAGTCAAGTTAATAAAGCAATTCCACTCGTCTGTCGTATACGAGAGTTGTAGATATTACGAAAGCGACCTACACATAAAAAAAAAACACATTTGACGGTTTATAACGCGCAGTATATTAGTAAACTTACACAAAATTTATTTAAATAATATGCTTAGCGATTTAAATCGTTAGTGCTGTATTTGAACATTTGTTATTTTCTCGGGTTTGAATCCTGGGCCATTCGTGCTTCACTTGTAATCTATACTAATATTATAAATGCGAAAGTAACTCTGTCTGTCTGTCCTGCTTTAACTCCCCAACTAATGAACTGATTTAAATGAAATTTGGTACACAGATATTTTAGAGCCTGAGAAAGGACATACTTTTTAATGCCAAAAAAGGTTGATAGGGGTTGAAAAAGGGGATGAAATTCGTGTTTTTTGAAGCTAGAACAATGAAACTTTCTTCTTTGGCTTTTTGGGAATAGGAGTGGGAGTGGGGGTGGGAATGAGTGTAGGAATGAGAGTGGGAGTTAGAGTAGGAGTGATGTGAGGTAAGAGTGTTGCGGCAAAGTAGCACTTACAACATAGATTGGCTGCCTTAAATGCCACCCTACATAAATTAATAAACAGCATAAATAATTAAAAATTCACTCTGCCACGCTGCACAGCTAGTATTTAATAACACCTAATATATTCTTCATATATCAGATATGGAATTCACTATTTTAGTATTTACATAAATATTCGATGTCTCATTTTTATCTCTGTATGCTATTTTTAGTGTCACTGCAAAAGATGTTCTCAAAAAACTGTGCAACAAAGTACTATCTAGATAAACAGTATCAATTTGAGATAATATGTTTTTGCGTTTTACTCCACTTTGTAAACTATAACAACAAATTTTAAGTACGAAGAAATAGAACAACATATAACCGACATATAATAGCAATTTAGTAAAAATCTAGTGTACATATAAGATGATTTGGCTGTGTCAGTGACTTCGTCTGCGTAGGACAGTTATTTTTGCGTCAAAATTTGTTTTTTAAACCTTCGCTTCCTGAATTTATGATTCCTATTTAAATGATAAAAAAGTTCTCCGACAGTATATGTCTAACTTTTACGGTTAACTTGCAAGAACTTCGGGACGCGATCGACGATTGGTAACAGATCTAATTTTAAAAGATCTAGAGGAGGTTTGCGAAAGCAAATTTTGATACTCTTAATAAATATTTTATGCCGACGAAGTTGCTGACACAGCTAGTAAATAATGTATGATATATGATTAATTTAAAAAAACTGATATAGATGTACCGTACACTAGGAGCCGTTAGTATTTCAGAAATAAACGGCGAATTCGCAAATAATTATGTAAGTATTGATCTCTATTGTTTCGCCATGGCGCCTATTAATAATGTCGTTGACGTAATAACGTTAAATCGCGTAAGACACGGTCGCGTGCCACGTACACGTGACCCGCGAATGATTTAAGTAAACGCCATTTTGTACTATCGGAATGATCCTAAAATTATTTGCATACAAATAAAGTAGACCACAGCACAAACAGTTCAGTGCAAGCGTAAAGATTGTCCTGGAATAGTGAAAATACCAAATGCACGATTAGAGTTTAGAGAAACGTGCTAACAGTGGGTCAAATGGATGATGAAACACTTTTAACGGTTCAAAACGCGCAATATATTAGTAATCTCATGTTTAATTTAATTAAAGCCAAATACTCCCCGCAGCCATGGTCGCAGGGGACGTATTTAAATTGAAAATAAGTAAACGCGTTCTAAACCGTTAAAAGTGTGTTATTAAATGTGTTCTACTCGCGTAACCAACAGACAACACTTAATGGATGATGACTTGATTATTCAGAAGTTGAGCTATGTTTCAAAATGAAATAAATCTATAGAAAACTGCATTATAGAGAGTATTTTTCTCCATCTTGTTTTATTCTTTACTTAGCTCAGGAAATACATGTAAGTGATCAACTTCCTGGGCTTGTACAATTTTATTTGCTGATTTTTTAAAACGTAACAATGTACAGCTCATATTATCAATTCGGAGTCGTGGGTTCGATTACCACCAAGTGTTTATAAATCTGATTATAGTTTGTTGAAAACATTAGGTAGACATGTCTTTAAAAAATTCTATACGGCAAATTGAAATTTCATTTGGATCTCAAACTAGCGTCAACAAATGAATATATGCTTATCCCCACCTCTATCATTAAAAACGTTAATATTTCCTACAAAATTTTAACATTTTAAACCATAAAATTGTATTCGAATTGCCCCACATTTCGACGGTCTTATTTCACCGATGATAAACTATAGAAACCAAATCAAACACGTGTTGTATTATCTCTATAGCCTTCGTGACTCTATGGCTATCGAAATTCTTATCTTCATATCTCATAGTATTTACTATATCTTACGCCGTATTTATAATAATCCTTTCAAGACCAACTTACGAATAACGATTGAAAACTTCAAAAATTGATAAGATTGTAAAGGAAAATCGAATCGGAAAAACAATTAATATAATTTGTGTTTTAATTTCCAAAAAATATAATAAGGAAAATATTTTTCATATAATAAATGGTGTTTCATTAATAATACAAAAACATTTAGATGAAAACATGTTATTAGCTCAATGTAGTCTAAGAGCCTAATAAACTCGCGACCTACACAAGTCAGTTTCCGTGAAGTTTGTTGAAATTAGTTTCTATGTGCCAAACTTTCGGCATTGAATATTATCATGAAAGCTATGCGTACACAGCAGCGCTTCAAGGTTTATTAAAACAGGATCGCTAAAAGCTACTCGTGACTCTTCCACGCAACCTTAAAGAAAAATAAGTAAATTCATAAATTATTTTAAAGTTTGAGCTGGCGTTTCGGATACACGCAGCACCTGACGGGGGGACAGGCTGAAGGTGGAGGTGCCCGTAATATCAAAATCAATCTACTACGCTAGCGCCGCTGTTTCCTGATTGTTGATATTTGGGGAAACTGACTGGTACCTTACATAACAGACTCACGGTGTCTTTTCGTTTACCGTAATCCCGCTTTGTAGGGATTTTGTCCGTGTAACATAGGATCACAATTGTTGCCAACCTCGTAGCCAAATTAGAGGAATTATTAAACACCTTAACCTTACTTTAGAGTTAAAGAAATAATTAAGTTTATACCTATATTAAGTGTTTTAATTTTCACAACCCATTTAACCTATAGTTTATAAGTTTTCTTCCGTAAGCCGTAAACATAAGACCAGCTCCTAGCCTATAATATTTTAATGCGAATTTTCTCAGACAACGTATTGCGATCCGAATAAAATATTGCGCAAATGTTCACCTTTATTCACCTTGAGCGCATATCTTGTGACCTATTGCGGTAGGACGGTGTCTGCGTCCAGATAACAGAGGCCCACTCTCAACGAAGTCGCGTTATAAAATTAGGCGATCAGAGGGGTCATTGTATAGTGGCTGGTGGGCCGTTTTTATAAGGCCTTAATTTATCAAATAACAGATAGTGTACGGGATGAACGTATGCAATTGCGTGCTGAATCGACTTGACA